TCCCTTTCGACTTGAATCCGAACTGGGACTGAACTCTTTGACTTTTCTTTTAGACAGACACATCCTTTGCACAAACGGACACCTTTACTGCACGAACAGACACATTTGACTGCACGTACAGACACATCTCTGCATGAACAGACATGAGTTGCACATACCCTGAATGAACAGATGTAACCCAAATACTTAGATATCGCAACTGTTCGTCCAGGGGCACAATCGTGACCTTTGACAATGCCTTTTGCTTTAGTTTAGAGTGTGACTTTTGACCCAGAGAACATGTCTTTTGATCTGCTTTCACGAATTGAGCTTTGGGCGAGGTACCCCAATATGCTGCTCTCGTCAAACAGGGGCTGAATCGGGTAAAGGCCCTTTTATTACCTCCCCTTGTTACTCCTGCCTGCCTGCCCTGTGCTTTACTATTGCCATGCAGCCTGGCCGCCTGCCGCTTGCCTTGTCTTGCTTTGCTGATTGCCGGGTTGCACTTTGGTTCCCTTGCTACTTGACGTTGACGCTTGATCGCCTGCATGGCTGCTTGCATGGGCTGCTTGCATGGGCTGCTTGCATGGGCTGCTTGCATGGCTGCTTGCAGCATCGCCCGCACAGCCATCCTCACAAGAAGTGCTGAAGTAGATTGCAAACTGGGCAGCTTCCCGCTTGCCTTGTCGTGCTTTGCTGCTCGCCCGGTTGCACTTTGGTTCCCTTGCTACTTCACGTTGATGCTTGCTTGCCTGCATGGCTGCTTACATCATCACCTGCATGGCCTTCCACTCAGGGTTGACATAGAGGCAGCCTCTCACCCGGTTGCCTTGTCTTGCTTTGCTTCTCGCCCGGTTGCCGAATATATACTGAAGATTCCAATTCAGGTCTGTGTTTCAGCAGTTATGGGTTGCTCACATAGCTAGGCCCTGTTGGTCTCTGCACGCGACTCTTAGGGCTTGGCTGCACTACTCACGAAATGTGCAAAATTAGAATGAATCTTCTGCAGAACATGGAATAATACGCCACCATATGTTTTGTCTTTTGTGCATTTGGTGAGTAGTGGCCCTTAGGGCCACTGCACGTATTCCTAAGAAAAGAAAAACGAGAAAACAGAGAAATAGTGACCCATAACCTTCATGCACAGACCCGAATTCGAATCCAGACTATATATTCTCTGCCTGCCCTCAGGGAGTACAAGTTTGAAGCGTATCTCAGCATGACGTCGGGTCCTAGCTAATATGCTGTAGGGATCCTTCCGAAAAGAGGCTGGACAGAACTAGGACATTTTTGTTTTTCTATTTTTTTAATGCGCAGTGTCACTTGTGTGTGCGTGCATACGCGTGCGACACCCCCACGCATGAGATGCGCTGCAAGTATGATTCGAACACATCTCTCTCTCTCTCTCTCTCTCTCTCTCTCTCTCTCTCTCTCTCTCTCTCTCTCTCTCTCTCTCTCTCT